CTAGCATATAGAACCCCGAGATTGTCGACCGTGCGGAGGGTTGATGTGTGGTTCGGTCCTAGTGCTTTCTCGTACCCAGCTAGTGCCCGTATGTATATCTGCTCGGCCTCATCTAGCTTGCCTTGGCCAGCATATAGAAGTCCGAGATTATTGACCGTGCGGAGGGTTGATAAATGCTCCGGTCCTAGCGCCTTCTCGTACCCAGCTAGTGCCCGTATATACATCTGCTCGGCCTCATCCAGCTTGCCTTGGTCAGCATATAGAAGTCCGAGATTATTGACGGTGTCGAGGATTGATGTGTGGTCTGGTCCCAGTGCTTTCTCGTACCCAGCTAGTGCCCGTATATACATCTGCTCGGCCTCATCTAGCTGGATTTGGTCATGAAGCAGCCGTGAAACAGCTACTACCTTATCGAGTTTATCTGGCGCATGATCATATATCACATCGTTATCGAGGAATCGCTGTTGCACTAGTCGTGTTGCATGACTAGCCGAGCGGGCAAAGGTGATATGACCCAAAGAATCAGTATCAACCCCACTGATGGTCGCTTCAACGCAGTCGAAAGCATACCAGTAATGCCCAATATCAACGTTCTTATTGAGTGCGGCTAATGTCCAGTCATGCACACAGTTATGCATGCTCCATGTTTCTGATGCCAAGTGGACTTCTAGAAAGTAGTATTCGGTCAAGATTCCCATCACTCCCTGGAAGGACACGTCGTCCGCAACCAGTTTACGAAGCCACTCGGGAGATTCTTTGGAAAGTCCACCGCGGAAAAGCTCGTACCAAAGGCTCTGATTACCGAAGTAGGCCAACAATTTTAGTAGTTCTGCAGCGTCCGAGTCGTCGATTTCCAAGCGAGCATACGACAAATCCCAGGTCGTGTAAAGTGTACGTTCGCGATACTCTTGGAGCTTAGTGGGGCGACGGGGATCAATGTTCCAGCGTCTCTTATATTCTTGCAGGTAGCGTTCAAAGGTAAGAGTACTTCGCTGAAGATACGTCCCAGCAGTTGCTAAAGCAAGCGGAAGACCTGCAAGTCGCTCTGCAAGGAGGCTTGCGTGAGGATCTAATGGCGTTCTTTAGTTGGTCCCAAATATATTTATAAATATCATATATCATACCTGATTGAACATTCAGTCTTTTTGATCGAGTTTGTAAGACCGCCAGGCTATCTTCGATGTCTTGCAACGGCTTTACATGTAAAATGTTTCCGCCAACGCGATCTGGGCACCTAGTGGTAACGAGAATAGCCCCATGACTTGTAGTATGTGGGTAATAATCGTTGATCTCGAATAGGCCGGGGTCGTCATAGTTATCAAAGATCAATAACCACTTGGTATTTGTCGAATCAGATAGCCATTGGTGTACACGTCCGATGATATCCTTACCCTCCAAGAGTCGAGGATCCTGAATGTCGAAGATGAGGGTGGCGATTGATCGAAAACTCTCCTTTAGTGCAGCCTCGGACACCGCATTCAGCCAAAACACCGAGCTATAAAATCCAGACCGTGACTCTGCGTAGGCGATAGCAAGCCGAGTCTTGCCGATACCACCCATCCCACCCAGGACTAGACGTTGTTGCTTTTGAAGCTCCTTAACAGGGTGTAAAATTTCTGCCATTTCATCAAGCTCGGAGCCACGACCGACGAAGAGTTCTGGAGCGATATAAGGCGCTTGGCCGAGACAGATACCAACGGGTCCACGAAAACTAAAGTCCTCTTTCTGTCTCACCTCTACATATAACCGTTAGCGGAGGTCTTTACTAGCATTAAATAAAAGTCAAGATAGGCGAAGACACAAGAAGTCAAATCGAGTAGTCCTAATTCAGACGGATGATAACAAAATGAGACGCAAAACCTCATTCTTTGCAGAACTAGCCGAACAAATTTCCCTTCTATTATTATGCCGGCTCAACAAGAACGATATAAACGACTAGTCCTTACCAAAATTTTGGGTCTCAGCGTTATACTGCTTTCCACTGCCGTTACTAACATACTGTTTCCCACTGCCGCTATTCACATTGTTCATCTGCGGTCCCCCACCACTGTTGAACATTTTGGTAGATGGTTCTTCGTCGGGCACCGATGGTGTGACAAACTTCATCTCTTTAATAATGTTTTCAAGCTCCTCGGTTTGCGTTTGATTGGCAGACCCGACCGCTTCGTGGTTGACAATAAGTTGGACGTCTTTAGTGAGCCCTAGCATAAGCTCTTCGACTTTGTTCCCTTTGCCGAGACGCAGGAGAACCTTCAAGTATCGTTCCTTCCATTTGTCGCTTTGACCGGGTATGATCTTCTCGAAGATTGCTCTTAGATTTGTCGCTTTTATGTCACAATCTTCAAGAGTCTTCTCTAAGGCTTCGCAGACATTCCCTGGTATTGAGTCTTTCTTCGCTTTTATGTGGCTTTCGCATATCTCAAGGGTGTGGAGAATGACGGGAAGCTGGCGTCGAACAACTTCGAATGTCTCTGATAATTTGATGTCTTTCAGGGCACTGTCGTAGATTTTAATCGAGGTGTCGATGAGGGTAATGACCGCAGAGATAGCGCCGATCACTTCTGCCATCTTGAGAGGATAAAGCGGCAAAAGAAATTGTGGTTGTCGGAGTATCTTAGGCTCTAAAACGCGGGATCCTAAATAGCACTAGGATATTGGATAGAGAAGGAGGGGTAAAAATACCTACCTTGAGATTCATAGGGCTTATTATAGGCGGGTTAAATCCTCTCCCAACAAGTGCACAGCCTCTTGAGCGCCCTTACAGGTACACGTGTCTACAGTTGATTCTTCGAATGTGATCGCTTATGCATTAGTCCGTTGTTCAAGACCCCTGCGAGCACCAATCACGCTGGAGGCGGTTTTATGAGGCAGACTGAAAAAGGATAGAGAAAATTTCCTGCACGTTCAGCGGCTTCGGCCATCCAAGACGTAGTCAGTGCTTGTCATATTACAAATTAGATCACGGCTTAATGGAGAGTGTCTTCGCAGCACGTTGCAGATGATTGGTGGGGGTATCAAAATGTTGATGATACAAACTGCTTACTGGGAGTAGGCGGTGAAATTGAGGGAGGGTATGGGTATCGATTGTATTGCTATTTCATCAAATTTACGGAGTAAGATATCATGTGATAGTTCCTTACAATTAACGAGAAACTGAAACACGCTAAAGCAAATAGGGAGTAATGTGTTTCGAAATAGGGTTCGAGAAAGAATCTAAGTGTGTATAGTGGTGAAACTGATTTCGATCCATCCTGTATCGCTCTCGCCGTAGCCTCTCTGCCTGCCTAGATGGCACGCCTGCTTCGGAAATCACGCTGTCTTTGAACATGCTCATGCTGACTTTGATTAAGACGAAGCTGAATTTGATCGCGCTCACTTAGAATAGGAACAAATTGAAAAGTTATGATGCCTAGGGTGGTTTTTCCCCTGAACATCAAATGGAAAGCGTCAGATTGTACTTGAGAAAGTGTTTTAACGCATTCCGAATCCTACAAGTCACATAATCCAATGATATAAAAGCATCTTTGCTCGGAATTGAATAGTAACGAGAATAGTTGATTGCGAGCGTACAATATGTCGGATAGTTGGTCAAGCGTTGACTAACCAGCTTCACCGTATATATGTCTTATATTTGGAGCGGGTCTTCTCATACTGGAATTATTGTGCCGTGCACTATATCAAGTTGGAACTGATGCGAAGATAGCAAAATAGGAAATCCGGTCTCGCGGGATGTGGCCCTTTCATATATCCGAGAATACGGAAAGAAAGGGCAGAATCCTAGCTTCTATAGGCTTACTAATGCGTTAGTGATTAGGCAGTCGCCTAGACGGTCAGGATATTAACGATAGCTGGAGTCTGTCAAGCAAAATGAGGGACGACGCCATGGTTGTATTAATGGTAATAGTATTTCATATTGTTTTCTATATCCAGCCTAACGTGATACTATCTTTCGATACGATCCAGCCTATTAGTACTAGAGTAAGCCATAAATGAATACGGTGACGCAGAGTGGAGTTTAAGAAATGAGTCTACGTGTTTAAGTGGTGAAACTAATTTCGATTTATACTATATTTAAAAAGAGTTCGGGGAAGAATTTCTGTCAGCGAAGTGGTGAAACTGACTTCGATCTATCCTATAGCGTATATTTAACACTCTACTCCAATAAAGCAGGCTAGGCTTAAATCAGCTGGCACTAAGTTAAATAACGTTTCCGAAGAGGTCTCTTATAGCATGTATAAGCTAGTTATACTATTATAGAGTTGAAAGAGTAGTGCGTATTAGGATGATAGAACAATAACATCAAAATAGGTGCTCTAACAGTTTTGTTAAGATAAGAAGCCCGCAGAACTATTCTTTAGAAGTGCATATCGTAATATGATATATAAGGGCTATTAATATACTTTTTCCGTTCGAGCTAGCATTTTGTCTCCTTATCTAAAATGCGTTTACTTATCACCTTTTTTTATCGATAGTAAGATTAATAGTTCTTAAGGCTATTTCCGTTTATAGTGATTTATGATTTTAATATCCCTTAGGCATCGAGTAGAGAAAGAAACATATAAAAGGTCTAGTAGAGGCTCTAGTATAACTCTTCAAATCAAGAATATTTATAGCCTTCTTACTTACCTATCCTATATAACTCCTCCACTTTTTTTTCTAGCTCTAGCCACTACGGTTAATACCTACCTTTAGGCATCGTAATTTGCTAAAGATACTTATAGTATACTTAATAATTAGGAGGTAGCGGGAAATATAACTAGTTCCGTATAGTATTATTTAGGTAGTCACGAAAGATTATTCTTACTTTCCGAGAACTATATAGGTCATTTAGAGACAGCTATTATAAATTATTAGTATATAAGTCCTAGTAGCTAATAAATAACTAACTATTATAAGGTATAGAGGGCTCGAAGTTTCTATATAACGAATTTTCGATCTTAGTTATAAATATAAAGAACGCTATAAAGGGGCCCGGGAGTGTGGCTTTAGCTAAGAAGTCCTAGTCTAACTAGATATCCTCGGCTGAGTTAGGCTACACTTATTCTACTTCGAATATCGTGTTAACGTTATCGTCGGCGTTAGCTAGTAAATCCTCGGTAATTACTATATCCGTAGTTAATATAGTCGTTTCGAGTTTTAGCACTTCGGAGGGGACTACTTCTTTAGTCCCTATTAAGTCTTCGATAGTAGTATAATCTACGGTAATTACTTTATTATCTACTACTATAGCATCTCTAAGTGCTAGCACTTTAGAGGGGACTACTTCTTCGGTCCCTATTAAGTCTTCGATAGTAGTATAATCTATAGCAATTACTTTATTATCTACCACTATAGCATCTCTAAGTGCTAGCACTTTAGAGGGGACTACTTCTTCGGTCCCTATTAAGTCTTCGATAGTAGTATAATCCACGGCAATTACTTTATTATCTACCACTATAGTACCTCTAAGTATAAGCACCTTAGAGGCAAATTCTTAGACTACCCCCTCTAGGTCCTTAGCTACACCCTAATCCCCGACTTTTACTTAGCCCCGACCCACTATAGCAACTATAACTATAAGCTCTTTAGGAGGAGCTTCCTTAGTAACTCCTAGTATCTATATTATTAAGTATATTAATTAAATATAGACTTTAGTATACTTATAGAAGCTAACTAGCTTTATAGGACTACGGATTTATAGAAGGGCCTCTATTATTACTTAGATAATTAGACTATTAGCCGTATAGACGGTGATTATTAACCCGTCGCCTAAGGAATCCAGATTATAGTCTTTTTTTATATTAAATTTATAGCGATAGCTCGATCTATAGGATATCTCCTATTTTATTTTTATTATACGTAAACGAGATTACGAGGGTCTACGTTTTCCTAAGATTATAAGAAGCTAAATAAATATTTCTTACCGGGGCTTACCGCGTAATTTACTAGTTAGTCCGCTACGTATTTTATATAATTCTTAGAGTGCCCTAGCATCTATTATCACACGTAGGAAGCAAGCCCGGCTACTTAGTGCTTCGAGTCCGCCTAGAATATACCGTAGAAAACCTACTACCCTAACTTAGTAATTTACGTTACGATTAGCTTATAGAGCGGATATACTACTATATAAGATTAAGGCTAATTTTAACCTTATAGATATTAATTCGTAGTTCTAATAGGTCCTTAATAACTAAGCTAATAGTATAAAATATTCGAATCAACTTAGCTCTACGTATAGACTATTTACCTATTAGGCTAATCTAAGTTTATTAAAAATTAGAGATATCCCGGTCCTCGTTAAGCGTGGTAAAGACGGCACCGAGGTGGCTATATTAGATATAGGAATCTTAATATACGATAACGCCTAAGATAGGTCGTATCCTAGAAGCTTTCTTCTAAACCTAATCTACTTAAAGGCCTCTAGGGTCTTAATAATAATAGCGGTCTTAGGCTAATTGCTTTAGATCTATCTAGTGTTTTAAGACTTATCGTATTTAAAGCCTTCGTCTATAGAAATCGTAAATAATATCTATTCTTAAACTAGATATAAGAAGTAGCGTAAGGAAGTACTATAGGTGTCTATAGCATTCGGTATTAGTTAACTAAGGAATTCGCTTACTTTAATATACCATGACTTTATTCCTTAAAAAGAGTATTTACTAAGAACTATATCATGCCCGAGGAGCCCCACAATCGACGCCTAGGGCTAAATCCCGCCGCTTTAATACTAAAAATCGAGTATGCTATATTTAATTTTTATCTTCTCTAATTTTAAGATTTAATCTAGGCTAATTAATTTATTAAGAAATTTCTAAAGCCTCGTATAAGGATTTGATCGCGTACGAAACTCGCGTATTCCCTATAGGACTAGCCTCTGGCTTAAAGAAATATTAGAGTGTTAAGCCTTCCGAAATATTAGCGACGGCTATAGATAAATTATAAAATATATTAAGGTATAAGCGATAGAACTAGTTTTCGTTTTCTTATAGTTCCTATTAGCGGAGTTTTTCTTACCATAATTCCGGTAGCGAGAGTCTACGCCTATCCTTTAATTCTTATAGACGTTTATAGGTAGTTTCTAAAGCTATAGTAGAGCCACAAACTAAGGCAATTTAATAGTCTAATAAATTGATTTCTAGAAGGTTATATCCGGTAGGAAGTGGAATTAAGTCGTCTAGTAAAATATCCTTTAGTAAATTAGGCGACCGGCTATAGATGCTTAAAGAAGCGCTACTAGAAAAGCGATTTTTAGTTACTTCCGAGGCTATAGTAAGAATAGGTACGAGGATAAATCTTTTTATAAGGGATAAGACTCCGTTTTAAAGCCCTAAAACTACTAACGTTCTTACCGACACTATTCACGTTAATCTCCCTTTATAGGACCCTTAAAAATACTCTAGCCATTTAAGATAGGAGCGAATAAATAAGGTGGTATTATTTTTCCCCGGATAAAACACTCGTATAAAATACACTCAGAAATTATATAGGTTTCTGTCGGACGAGGGACACTAATGTGAACTAATACCAAAGAACTTACTATACCGAGCAAGTGGTAAAATGAGTGTGTATTCTAAGGAGCAGCAAGTGAT